CAGGATGTTTTACCTCTGTACGATACAATTGTTGATTATAGGAGTTCCCTACGTTGAGTTAAGTATCATCGAGGAACCTATAATGTTCCCGGGGGGGAACTCATTTTGAATTTTCCACGGATGGCTAGGAACACATTCTTCAATCAGTTTCCCATGTAAATGTCATCATCACATTAGCAACATTTTCCCCATTGTTATCAAACTCTAGGGAGCGTTATTTTCTAATGCTATTTGATATATTCTGAGCTCGAGAGTTTGCTTGGGAGTTTGGGTGGAAAGGTACAGAAACCAACCAAAAATTTTCGGAAATTTTCTCGGAATTTTCATATTTTCACCAACACATTGGGCACAGCAGTCTAAGGTAAAGTTGATTTTTCACCACATTATAATTGCGACCGTTTTCGGTGAAGTTAGATTTTTGTGCTTTCAAATGAACAGCATTTGTAATGTTGGTGGTATCATTTCAAAATCACGGCTAAAACTTTAACAAAAAATGGTAAAAAAATTACGAAAATTAAAACTTTTCGGTGAAAAAAATGTACGGTATATTTTTCCACATTGATATTAGTGGAGTTTCACAACCTGTTTTACGTGAAGATATTCGCGGTGATATGCAGTAGTCGTGAAATATGTTTTTCATATCACTAGGGTGGTGAAACTCCATTGTATACTACTTTGATTGACCACAACTTCCCAATTTTAAGCCTATCTCTGCCGACTCATGTCCGACCCTATACCGCCTCCGCCCGATACACTAGTACCCTCTAAGGAGTACCCAATGCTATCACTAGAAGAATGCTTGGGAAAAATCGGCGACCTTTTGCCCTCATATCGATTACGTTTCCAGACACGAAATGCATCCTCCACACTGGACCATTTACGGGTGCCTGAAGAGCTCGGACGCGTATTTGCGGCTGATGTGTACGCTCGAGAACCTTTCCCGAAATTGCCGACTTCTATTATGGATGGATTTTTGGTACGACCAGTTGGAGAAACGCATCCGAGTGTTAAGAAGATGAGGTAATGCGCTTTACTGAAAATTACGGAAATTTCTTTTTTTCTGATTTTTCCTCTTCAGTGGGATCCCCTATAGAGAGCTCCGAATTATATCGAATATCACAGCTGGACATGGCGTGGCTACTGTAGCTGAGCACTGCGACGCCACTTATGTAACTACTGGAACTTTGGTAGAAAATGCCGATCTAGCAGTGGTGAAAATTGAAGATTGTGATGTGAGTGGTGACACCGTAATAGTCCCTGTCACCGGCGTTGTTGCTGGTCTCAATCTGCGCAGTGTTGGTTCTGATATTAAAAAGGACGAACTCATTGCACGCAGAGGAGCGGTTTTAACGCCGGCTTTGCTCGCTGCACTAGAGGGCGTGTCCGCGATAGTTGAACTGCTACCTGTAGTGAAAATTGCTATCGTTTCTAGTGGAGACGAACTCGTCAAAAAAGAGGTACCAGACACGAATGGTCCGATGCTGCAGGGTCTACTATGTGAGCGCTTTGGCAACGCAGTAGAAGTGAATCGATTACTCCCACTAGAAGACGATTATAATGTTATTAGAAAAGTGCTATTAGAAGTGGCAGCGACGAACGATGTGGTTATTACTACTGGAGCTGTGAGTAAAGGTTCGAAAGACTACATCAAGAAAATTCTCGAAAAAGATGGGAAAGTGCATTTTGGTGAAGTATGTTTGAAACCGGGAAAGCCTACTACGTTTGCTACACTACGTGAAACGCCATTTTTTGGTCTCCCTGGCAACCCCGCGAGCGCTTATGTCACTTTCTTCGTTTTCGTTGAGCCCTTCTTGAGAGCGTTGTTAACTGCTGATGGAAAAATGGAAAATTTTCAACAATTTTACGCGACTGTGGCGGAAAATATGCAACAGACGGATCCAATGCGCCCCGAGTACGTGCGTGTCACCGCAAGTGTCACCCCGAGCGGTCAGATTGTCGCTAGTGGTACTACAGGTGGAGACACGCAACGTAGTAGCAGACTGCTGAGCTGCGTGGGAGTGAACGCTTTGGTTAAACTGCCCGCTGGTGGTGAACTCGTTCATAAGGGGGCGCGGGTGCCGTGTGTGCTAACTGGTAGAGCTGAACTCGGTAATGGGGGAGAGGACGAAGTTGACGATGATGTTAAAGCTGAAGCCTTTGCTTTTCGGAGGCTCGTGAGTTGGCTCCAGACAAGGACAGATGTGCAGAATATTGACCTCATGAATTTGGCGGGGTTCTGTCGCAACTGCCTTTCCAAGTGGTACGCTGAGGGTCGAGGAGTAGATGTAGATGAGGCTAAGGAACGCGTATATGGTAGTAGGGGGGGGCGGTTCACTGGAGCTAAATTACTAGCGGAGAAATATGAGATTTTGGTAAATGCCGGCAAAAGCATTCATCATTTGGGAGGTTATTTGTTGGAGTTTCGCCCTAGTGATATGAAAAATATATTTCACGACTACTGCATATCACCGCGAAAATCGCGTTATTCACAGAGTTTTACGCCCCTTGTAGTAGGCTCTTTTTTCAAACATCTTTAGTTGTAGCACTGACGAGGTGGCGATT